TCCCTTCAAGGGGCGGGGGCCAGGAGCCAGGGGCCAGGAGCCAGGGGCCAGGAGCTAGGGGTCAGGGGTCAGGGGCCAGGGGCCAGGGGCCAGGGGCCAGGGGCCAGGGGCCAGGGGCCAGGGGCGGGCCAGGGGCCAGGGGCCAGGGGCCAGGGGCCAGGGGGCAGGGGCCAGGGGCCAGGGGGCAGGGGCCAGGGGCCAGGGGGCAGGGGCCAGGGGCCAGGGGGCAGGGGCCAGGGGCCAGGGGCCAGGGTTCAAGGTTTAGAGGTCGAGGGGCCAGGGGTCCTGGTTTCGAGATCCAGCTACTCACGGCATCAAGTGCATCGACGGCAGCGCCGCTGGCAAGGAGATGCGAGACAAAGGGCGTCTGACCCGTTGCTGCCATAGTGTGCAGCGACACCCACTTGGGCTGCACACGTGGGGGAGAAGAGAAAAGTGGGGGGTTCAAGAGTGAGAGAGAGAGAGAGAGAGAGAGAGAGAGAGAGAGAGAGAGAGAGAGAGAGAGAGAGAGAGAGAGAGAGAGAGAGAGAGAGAGAGAGAGAGAGACGGTCGTTCAGAATGCAACGCACTTAAACCGGTATTGCCACTACTGTACCACTCTGACTGCACAAACCTTCAGCACGAAACTGTAGGCACCACGCCCTTAGTGTTGGAGATTGGGAGGGAGGTTGGGAGTTGGCTTACAGAGGAGGTCATAACCACATTGGCCGATGGGGGTCGCTGCTGCCCCTCTGCTGTTGCTGCCGCAGCTGCTGGTGTTGATGCTAATGCTGATGCTGATGCTGCCCCTGCTGCTCGTTTACCCAGATTCACCTGGATGCAATAACGAGAGAGGGAGTGGGGGGGTGAGAGGGAGGGGGGAGGAGAGAGGCAGGGAGGAGGAGAGGGAGGGAGGAAAAAGCGAAGGTGAAATAGAAACGAGAGACTGACTTCTGGGCTAAGGTTGCTGTTGCACAAGGTCTCGGGATTGGAGTTTTGAGAAGTTGACTAGAGTTGACTGCAGTTGACTGCGGACGAGTGTAGTGTATGTGCAGATCAACTCACATCATCCAGGCTCGTATCTTCTAGAGCATCCTCCAACCAACCCCAGTCCTCCTCCTCCTCCTCTGCCTCCTCCTGCACCTCCCCCGCCTTCCCTACTCCTGCATCTGAACCCACCTCTTCTGCGTCTCTGCTCTCCCCTGATCTCCCAACCGGCCAGCTGGCCCCTGCCCCAATACCAAATGCACTCGCATCCCCCGACCCCCCAGCGGCACCAGAAACAGCTTTGGCACCAGCAGCACCAGCAGCACCAGCAGCACCAGCAGCACCAGCACCAGCAGCACCACCATAAGCAGCAGCAGTGGCGGCGGCGTTGGCGCGTCTGGCGGCGACTTTAGCCTGTGCGTGCGTCCTCTCCTCATCCAGCCTCTCCTTCTTCTTCACCTTCTTTGTCTTGCTCAGCTCCTCCTGCACCCACCGCCACTGCTCCGGCACCAACCGCTCCCCCTCCTCCTCCTCCTCTTTCTCTTCCGCCCCATCCCCCTCTTCCAATGCCGCTCCTGCTGCTGCTGCTGCTGCTGCTCCTGCTGCACCTGTGGCAGATTCTGCTCTCATCCCCACCCTTGCTACCTCTGCCCCTCCTCTCGTTGCCCCTCCTGTCTCCACTCCTGTCTTTGGCCCTTCTGCCCTCTGTTGTTCCTCCTGTCTCCACTTACTCTCGCCCACATTACCTCTGCTCCAGCTGTCTTCGCCACCACTGCTGCTCCTTGGAGGCGCGGGTTCGAATCCCGCTGGAGATAAATCCAGCACTGCAGGGTCCAGAACAGCGGATTTCAGAGTGACTACAGCGAACATGGACGTATCATCCATCTCCACGTCATTCAAGATCCAGCTCGTCCCCGCTCCGGATTCCCCTTCCGCCTCCCCCTCCGCTTCCGCCTCCCCCGCCATTCCCCTTCCCACGCCAGGCGCACTCCCCCCGCCAGCGGGCGCACCAGCGCTGGGGCTTCCGCCGAACGCGCCTTCTCCGCCGAAACCCCTCTCGCGCGCGCTCCTGGGCAGTGGGTTGCGCGGGATTCCGGGGAGAAGGTCCGCCTCCATGTCTGCCACGTCATCCATGTCATCGTACACGTCATCATCGTCCTCCTCCGAGTCACTCCCATCCCTCCCCGCTAGCCGCCCCTGGCGGAAAGACTGCGCTTGTTTTCTCCCCCGACTAACACCGTCCGCGGGGCCCCTTCCGCCGCTGCCGTCTGTTCCACCAGGCCCCTTGCGCCTGGGGAAAGGGGGAGGGGGCGCGTGGGACTCTGCGCCTTTCCGCTCGTCGATCGTGCGCCCCTTGCGCTCCACTACTGGCTGTCCGAATCGCCGCCCTTCGCGGCCGATCTGGTAACCGAACAGTTCGGACGGCGAGGAACCACCGCCGCCACCACGACGCGCGCGATTGGGATTCTGCTTACCGTTACCTCCCCCACCGCCGCCGCCGCCGCCACCGTAACTAGCGCTACTGCCCGCAGAGCGCGCTGCGCGTGGTTGCGCATCGGTGCGCTCGCTAGTTGCGGAAGGGGGGCGGGCGGCCTGCCTGTGATGCGCCTCAAGATCCGCCGGGTTGGCGGAAGAGAGGGGGCGGGTGAAGAGGGGGAGCTGGCGGAGGGCGCTGCGCGGATGGATGTTGGCGGGACTCGCGAAGCCGGTGGTAACCACCGCGTGGAGCATTTTGACCCGCATTTTTCGCGGAGAGACTTGGATCAGCTAGATAGTGCTGCCATGCGATGGGACGCGACGCGACGCAAGAGGAACGAAGGGGGGGTGCCTCTATGGTTCACCTCACTTCACCTGCTACTGGTGTGCATGGGGTGTGTGCGTGTACGGAGCGAGAGGCTCCCCCGCCAAGATCTACCAATATGCTTGCTTCTACCCTGGCGAACCCTAAACCCTGCGATTTAACCGTAATGTGTTGGAATTGGGCAAATTATACGAGTTGGAACAAGGGCACCTGCAGTAGAGAGCATACAGTTTTTCACTCTATGCACCAAAAACGTTGTAACAAACTTGGTTTGTGACATTGACCACTAGGGCTGTAGTATCATTGAGAGTGCGCAACAAAGGAGCATGCCAAGTTGCTAACAGCCTTGAGTGCTTGCCATTGCCAGCCGCACTGCTCCATTCCACCCAGCCCTTTCCTAACAGCCCTAATGCACTAACCTTCCCACATGGTGGCCTACTCTACTCCTGAAACGTGGGTGCAGTGCACTGCAGTGCCATGCCGTGCCGTGCCGTGCAGCGCCGTGCACCCTATGCCATTCCTCCCGTTTCCCTAACCCATGGATTCCCCAGCCGCATCTCTATTGTCCAATCCAAGGAAAGGGATGTCTGGAGAGAGCAACACACACACCTCGACACTGTAGAACAAACCCAACACACACGTTGTGGCTGCATCCACCCATCCACCCATCCATCCATCCACCCATCCACCCATCCATCCATACATCCATACATCCATGCATCCATCCATCCATGCATGCATGCATAGTACCACCAACGTGCACAGCACACATCCATGCATGCACTTAGCACACACAAAGCGTTTAATAATCCAACTCCAGACGCAACGGTATTCAAAAGAGCCATACTCCAGACCACAGCACACGCGCACGTGCATGTGATGTCATGTCACTGAAGTGCCCCCCGACTCAGCACAGCATGACGGACAGCGCGAGCGAGAGCGACTGCAGGCAGCAGACCTCACAAACGAGCGATCACGAATGCCATGATCCCACCAGACCAGAGCCAGCAGCAGCGCGACTCAAGTTCAGCCATGTGCAGCCAAGTCAGGCAAGTCAAGGCCAAGTCAAGGCAAGTCAAGCTCGCCAGGAGTAGGACAGGTGCTGCCACTGCGGGAACGACCGCCGAGCCTCCTCCAAAGCTGCTTGTCGCCGAACCAAAACATGCGGCTCGGATTGCGCCGCTGCCGCAGCCGCTGCCCCTTCCGAATCTGCTGCTGCTGCTGTGTGTGGTGAGGATGAGGGTGGGGGTGCGTTGGACGCAGGGGCAGCTGAGGCGGAGGACACGGCCGTGCGGTCATAGGCCGTGCCGTCCCCGCGGATCTTGCGAGGGTTCTTCCACCGCCACTCAAACTGGAACGCTGCCCAGGGGGAGAGGCGCCATGGGGCAGAGAGCGGGTGGGGAGAGAGAGGGAAGGGAGAGGAGGGAAGGGAAGGGGCCGAGAGAGAGAAGGGGGGGGGGGGGGGGGGGGAGGAAGGAGAGGGGGGATGGGAGGAGGAGGGAAAAGGGGAAGTCACAAGAGGCAAGAAGGGAGGTGGAGGAGGGGGGACGGGGGATAGGACGGAGACAGGACAAGGGAAAAGAGGAGGTGGGGGGAGGAGGGGTTAGGGATGGAGCAGTGGGACTGTGTGTCCACTGGACCACACGAGCAGCACTCTAATGCACTGGGCATTCACGGAGTGACCAAGTGTGCTGTCCCTGTCCCCACTTCCCTCATTCGCCAGCCGACTTTGGTCACTCCCTCACTGCTTCCTCAGTCTCTCCTTCTGCCTCCCACCCACGCACCCACCCACCCACCCAAGCACCCACCCACCCACCCAAGCACCCACCCACCCACCCAAGAAGCCACCCACCCACCCAAGAAGCCACCCACCCACCCACCCACCCACCCACCCACGCACCCACCCACCCAAGAAGCCACCCACCCAGCCACCCAGCCACCCACCCACCCACCCACCCACCTTCGCTCCTGGTTCGAAACCCCGACACGACAGACACGAGCGTCCATGGCCTGCCTGCGCGCGTGGACTTGGCTCCCCCCACCACCTCCCCGTTGTGCTGCTTCAGCCTGGGGGGCGCAGGGCAAGGGGGACAGACGTGGCAGGGAATGGGGGAGTGGGGGAGGGGGAAGGAGGGAGGGAGGGAGGGAGGGAGGGAGGGATGGAGGGATGGAGGGATGGAGGGCGAGAGGGGCAGAGCGAACGGGGAATGCATGGCGTGTCTGACCTTTGTTCGGCGTCCATAGTGACGCCCACGCACGTCTTCTTGCCATCAGCCGACAGCAGCAGTTTTGGAGCGTCTCTCAAAACTAAATCACTATCGCACTGTCACACACTGGGACACGGACCTTCGTTCGGCGTCCATAGTGACGCCCACGTACGTCTTCTTGCCATCAGCCGACAGCAGCAGTTTTGGGACGTCTCTCAAAACTAAATCACTATCGCACTGTCACACACTGGGACACGGACCTTCGTTCGGCGTCCATAGTGACGCCCACGTACGTCTTCTTGCCATCGGCCGACAGCAGCAGGTACACACTCCACGTCCCCGCCCCCTCCTCCTCCTCCTCATCTTCCTCCGACGCCCCGCCCTCCCTTCCCCTAACCCCCGATCCCTGCACTGAGCGCATGCTTCCTCCCCCTACTCGTCCCCCTCCCCCGACTCTGCCCCCACCCCCTCCGACTCCCCCCGTCCCTACCCCCCACCTAGCATTCTCAATCCGACCAATCGGCTCTGAGCCGATCTGACTGCTCATTCTTGCACTATCCCCCCAACCACCCACTCCCATGCCCGTGCTCTGCCCCAAACCCCCACCCATACCCATCCCCATGACCCTTCCCATGCCCATATCCATTTCTACCCCCATGTCTGCTCCCCCGCCAACGCCCACTCCGCCCATGCCTGTTCCGCCCTCCCCCTGTTCCCGCCCGAGCCAGTTCCCCCACTCCTGCGCTTTTGCCTGCTGCTTCTGCTGCTCTGGGGAATGCGCGGAGAAGGAAAGGGCGGAGGAGAGGCGGGCGGGGTCCGGGGAGGAGACGCCGTTTGTGCTATCACTGCTGCTGCTGCTGCTGCTGCTGCTGCTGCGGCCCCTGCTGCTACTAACATGGGTATTAGAGTGTCCGAACGAGTGGGGGTTTAAGGAATTCGGGCCAGGGTTTTGGTCAGGAGTGTGTAGGGGAGGATTCGAGTGGGGGTCAGATAAGGAAGGAGAAGGAGAGGAAGGGACAGGGGGAACGGATGAGTGGGGTTGAGTTGGGAGCGATTCAGCTGAGAGAGCCTCGACAGAGCCCAGCTGCTGCTGCTGCTGCTGCTGCTGCTGCTGCTGCTGCTGCTGCTGCGGATGCGGATGCGGATGCGGATGCGGATGCGAACTCTCCTGCTGTTGATTCCGGTGGCGCTGGTCGGAAGAGGCTTGCTGCAGGCTGATCCCCTCATGCTGCTGCTGCTGCTGCTGCTGCTGCTGCTGCTGCTGCTGCTGCTGCTGCTGCTGCTGCTGCAGTGGCCGCTCTTGTAGTCGCTGCTCTGCTTCCTGCAAGTGCTCGTGTATTCGCTGCTCCATCTGCTGCTGCTGCTCCTGGTTCTCCTGCTGGTTGCGCATCTGCTCCTGGGAGTGCGTCGCCACGTGGGCAATACCAGGAGACACGAACAGCTCACGGAACTCCAGGTCATCTATCCCATAGCGCGCCAAGTCGCCATACGCGTCCAACCCATTCGTGGCTCCGGTACCATTGCTCCCTCCCGGCCCCCCATGACCCCCGCCCGCCGCCCCCCTTCCGCTCCCGGTTCCGCTCCCGCTCCCGCTCCCGCTCCCGCTCCCCCGGGCCCTCCCTTCCCCGCGCCCTAAACCGCCGCTACCGCCGCCACCGCCGCTTCCCCTGCTCCTTCCTGTTCGCGCAATCCCCCTCCCACCGCCACCACCCCTACCGCCGCCACCGCCGCCCCTAGTGCTGCTGCTGCTCCTGCCGCTTGCGCTGCTGCTGCTCCGTCCAACTGTATTCTGCTGCGTTCCCTCTAGGCTGCACTGACAAACACCTCTATCGAAACCTCCCTGGCTTCCCTGGCCTCCCTTGCTGCGTGTCAAACCGCTACCGCTAGAGAAACTCACGCCGCGGGACCAATTAGTGGACACTGCTAGCCGCCACGCCAGCACTTGCACTTTTCTCCTTGCGCTAAAACCACTAAAGCCCGAGTGCCTGTAGCCTGAATACCCGTAACCCGAGTGCCTGTAACCCGAATACCTGTAGCTAAGTAAGCCATCCCGCGGTACAGTCACATATCTCGAGCTCGTGAGCTTTCCGGAGGTGACAATATCGGAGGCACGGGCGGTCAGGTTCCGCGCTGCGCTTCCCGCGCGGAGCATCCGCGGAATCGTCGGCCCTGGCGGAAGCGGAGGCGGAGGCGGAGGGGAGAGCAGAACGGCGAGATACGGCGGGGAGGCGGGGGGGCGGCGCACGGGCACGGGGCAGCCGAGAGAGCCGCCGAACGCGGAAGCAGGTACGGGGAGAGGCATGGCGGTTGACAAGAGGACTGCAGCGACGGTTGCGCGCACGGGCAAGGCAGCGGCGGTTGCGCGGGGTGCAGAGGCCAGAATAGGAGAGAAGAGACTCGAGCGTGGCCTCATCCGTTTAGGGCCGTTTCAAGCTGCCTGTCTGCCTGTCTGCCTGCCTGCCTGCCTGTCTGCCTGCCTGCCTTCCTGTGATTCGTCGGCGAATGGGTACTTTTGAGGCGGCTCAAAATGCAGGGCGCACGGCGATTGGTGGTGGATGCACTCGTCAGGTAAGGCGACTATGGCGGACTGTCAGACTGGCGTGGTTGAAACGAGTAGGGTTGGATATGGAGGTCACGACTCACGAGTGGGAGTGAGGTCGATATGCATCGGAGGCGCGATCTCGCGCGGGGGATTCGATATGGAGTAGGACGCGAGTACGCGCGGAGCGACGATGAGCGAAACGACGAGGAGCGAAACGACGACGACAGAAAGCTAGCGACGCGACAGAGGAACTCATTGCCACTTCTCCGCGCCTGGAGCTCCCCAGACGCCAGGAAATGGTACGGGGTGGATGGTGATCATTGCTCTATACCAGCGACAACATTTAGAAACGGGTCAAAAGCGGCGCATCAGGCAGGACAAGACGTGACCGGAAAAGATATAGCAGCGCGACAACACTACGCGGAAACGGCGCTACACGCTAACTGTGAAATCCTCGAAGGGCTAGCACATGTGGGTACCCACGACACCTCGCTACAAGTAAATGGGCACTTGACTTTTTGGACGCCATGGCTGTCTTATGGCTTATGGCTGCGCCGCATAAGGGGTTGAGCGGGCGGAAGGGGAACTGGCGGGGCTTATGGCTGCGCCGCATGGGGAGAAGGCGCAGGGGGGCGGTAGTCGGGGGAAGAGAGGCTGGGCGCTTTGCGCTGTTCTGCGCTGCCTGTGCCTCGGTCTTTCCAATCAAACCTTCAGGAGATGCCAGGGTGGGGGGAAAAGTGTTGGCGTTCTGGGCGGGCGGGCAGGAATGAATTCCCTGCTCGTGCAGATTGCGACGGGCGATGGCCTGGTTACCACCCGAGTCCGATCTTACGCGACAGGCGAGAAAGCCCCCAAGCCTAATAAAATTGATCACCAGGAGTTGGTGTTTGCGTAAAACCTTAGATGAGTCATCCACGTATACAGACTCCGCTCTATTCTCTATATCGAGGATCGAGGTTTCTGTATTTGTGTCTGCACGGACCACTTTCTTCCTGACCTCCCCCTCTCCCCCCTTCCAATCCAACCAGACCAGACTCCAGATGCAAGCAAGCTGCTGCACGAACAATGATATTTGTACAGCCATAGATTCTATTTCAGTCATTTACAGCGAGCAGTTACAAATCGAGTGTAGAGAGAGAATAGCAGAGCAGGTCTAGAAAGCTTGACAACCCCAAGTCACTGATCTCAACTTCCGATTTACTCTTCTCCGTCTAGCGACAGCCATGGCCGGCGTGGACGTCGATATGCCTCTTGCGTCAGGCGGCGAGGGCTCCAGCTCCGGCGCGAAGAAGGCGAGGCGGTTTGAGATCAAGAAGTGGAACGCCGTCGCTCTCTGGGCCTGGGGTGCGCTGCTGCCGGTTTTTAATAGTCTCGTTGTTGCCTCCTCGTTGTTGCCGTCTTCGGCGACTTTTCGATTAGCTTGCCGTTGTTATCCAGGGAACACCTCGGTTTGGATCCTGGTGTTTCTTGGCTTGAATCAGAGGCGAATTCTCACCGAGTCTGGGCATAGTGCGTGTCGTCTGTATTAGCGAAGTTATCGGGTCTTCGTCGCCATATTTCGTTAGTTGTCGATCCTTTATTGGGGTTCTGTGCTCCTCAGCGCGTTTCTTAAACGCTTTTTTAACGCGTGGATGCCGGATGTGCTCGTGCATAGCCATGCTTATGTCTGATTCGACTACCTATTTCCTCCGTGCGTTACGCCTGTGTGCTTGTATCCGTGTGTGCTTGTATTTGCAGACATCGTGGTCGACAACTGTGCCATCTGCCGTAACCACATCATGGACAAGTGTGAGTGCAGAGTATTCTTGCGCTGCGTTTCTTCGTTTGTTCGTTCTGCCAGGTCATTGCATGCCTAAGAAATTCCACCGTCATTTCGTTCACTTCTCCTCCATAATCTCTCTCCCCCCCCCCCCCCCCTCTCCTCCCCCCACCCACCACCCTCTTTTCTCCCCCCAATTTCCTCTCTTCCATGGCTCGCTGCGCAGGCATTGAGTGCCAGGCCAATCAAGCGAGCGCTACCAGTGACGAGTGCACTGTGGCATGGGGTGAGACTTCTTTCCTGCTTTTGCGTTTCCAATTTCCCTTAATGGCTATACATCATCCCACCCGTTCCTTCCCACCCACCCCCCCCCCCCCCCCACCCCCCCACCCCTCTTTCGCTTTTTCTTCCTTGAACTCTGCTTTTCCTTCTTCCTCCCCCTCTCCGCCCTTTCTCTCTCGCCCTCACCCTCAGGTGTGTGCAACCATGCATTCCATTTCCACTGCATCAGTCGGTGGCTCAAGACTCGCCAAGTCTGCCCTCTAGGTCAGTACACCCTGTAACCTTTAGGCTGGAAGACTCGGGTTATCTTTTTGGAATTTGTTCCCACAAAAATTGCGGAATGTACTCGTAGCATGCTACAGTCTGACTTTGTTGATTTTGGCTACTGGTTTTTTCACTATGTTCTCCAATTAACATTTTCCCGCTTTCCCGTTGCCCTCTTTCGTGCAGACAACAGTGAGTGGGAGTTTCAGAAGTATGGTCGCTGAGCCGCATATGTTGCTGTACATGGTGTTGTTGCCTCGCATGCGACCTTTCCACAAGCAAGCCTGCATGCATGCGTGTGTGCTCACATACATGGGGCGGCCACCCACCCAGCTAAACCCAGGTTTACCATATGTGCATGCATGGGCTGGGCACGGTTTCATTTTCTTGCAAAGTAGCAAAGCACATTGCTATGATGCCTTTGCCTCCTGTAGGTTGCCCTGTTGTATTCACCGCTCACTATATACAGAGTGTTCAGTCGAGAGTAATGACGGGTTTGTTCCATTCCATTCATAGCTGAGCTTGTTGATATCTCCTATGTGACTATCACGAGCTGCTACAGGCAGGAGGATGAATATCACTAGAGATGAAGCAGAAGCAGAACCAGAAGCAAGTACGGTAGCGGGCAAAGTACAACACTTCAGATGCATTGTTTGGCATAAGTAGTGATTGACACAGTCAACCCAACTGCCTGTGCTAGTGTGGCTGAAACACTCAGTGGTTACCGTACTACCGTACCAGGGGTACCGTACTACTACTAGCGTGTACAGTAGGCAAAAATGCATGTTTGGTGTTACCACATCTCCCTCTGGGCCTGAAGTCCGGAGGAACTGCCAGATGGCATGATGGAATGGAAGATTGATCACTGTGCCATTTGCACAAGCACTGCTGCTGGCAACTTCCAAGTTCCCAACTTATCAGCAAACCTATGCTTCCATTCCATGCTGCCTGCCTGCTATGTCTCCTTCCAATCAGCAAGGGGTACGAGTGTACCCCATGATGTCCCCACATGGAGCTTCACAGATAAGGGCACTGTTGGGGAAGAGAGGAAAGCGCAGACATTAACACACAATCAGACAAACGAGGAGAGGAATGCCAGTCAGAGCAGAGCAGAGCGAAAGCAAATACTGGGTACCAGCGGCACGTATTACTGCATAGACAACTGCTGCTCACACAAATGGCTCATGGCTCATGGCTCATACCTCTCATTGGCTGTATATCTTACCTGCGAGAGTCACGGCATTCTCCATGCACGCCTGTAGGAGCTCCGTTGCTGCCTTCAAGTATGGCCGGTCCACCTCGAGCACCAGCTCATCGTGAATCTGACACACACAACCAGCACCACAACCACCATGGAGGAAAATATTTGGAAAGATCAGTTTCAGATCTATAACAAGATGTTCTGTTTCCTGCTGAAAATCCAGGCGGCGGTGGGGAGATTCGGGGGAGGGGGGAAAGAGGGGGGACAGGAAACAAGACAAGGCAAGGCTCACCTGCAAAACCAGCCTGCAGTGACCTGCAAGGGAGGACGCCCCAGCAGCAGCAGGAGGCAGAACGGAAGGGCACTGAACATGTCGGAACTGCTGCTGAGGGGAGATAATAGCAGTCGATGCATGGGGCGCCGCAGCTAGCTCTTGAGCGTTGGTGGATGCGTCATGACTGAGAGGGGCTGAGGGTGTGGCTGATGGAAGATGTGCTGCTGCTGCTGCTGCTGCTGCTGCTGGTATTTCTGCTGCTGGTATTTCTGCTGCTGGCTGGGTGAGAGCAGGTGGGGCTATAGCTGCTTGAAGGCGGATCATGGCCAGTTTGATGAGGTCTGCTGCTGATCCCTGTGGGGTGGGAAGGATGGAAGTGGGGAGATAGAAATGGGGACATCACAGCAAACATGAGCTTTTCCTTCGTGAAACTGCTAGAAGGGTGGGAGTGATGTGATCATCGTGAGATTCACTGCTGGTCTGAGTAAGCATGACCAATTCTCACCTGGCAGATTGAGTTGACAGCCTGGCGCTGCGCCTTGGCTTTGTCAGCACTGCTCCTGTTGTTGATATTTTCCAAGAAACGCCTCCGCCCACATAGAGTCTGAACATACCTGCGAGAAATCAACAGAGACCACATAAGCTCAAACTGATCAATGCCACCTGTGGAGCTCTGTGCACCAGAAACTGACAGCAGGCACAATTCCTCACGTACCCTTTGCTCCTGCAGTCCTTCACAGCTCTGTCCAGCCATCTATCCACATCCGGGAACGACTGCAAGAACCTCCTCCTGTACTTGTTAGCCTCTTCCACGCTGCACCCCAGCTGCTGAGACAGCGCGTTGCTGCCCATGCCATACAGCAAACCGTAGCACAGGCGCTTGGTTCGGTCCCGCTCGGCACTGGTCACTTGAGGCTCGGGAGTGCCGGACCAGCGTGCAGCCATGATGCGGAAGAGATCGCCGGAGGGCCGGGAAAGGAGCGAGATGAGGGCTACATCTTTGGAGAAATGCGCCATTAGACGGACCTCGATCTGCGAATAGTCTGCCACGAGGAGGAGGCGAGTGGGCTGTATGGGAAGGGGGGTGGGGGAGAATAAGATGCAAGGAAAGGAAGGATTGAAAGCGTTTGTTTAATTTGAGAATGTGGGAATGAGGTGAGGCTGTGTACATGGGTCGACGTTCGCGCAAATCAAAGGAGATCGAATGACAGATGAGATGATTGAAGAAAAAAAAACAACCAGACCAACAGGGGGCGCAGAGAGCTCAAAGGACAACTCAAAACATAGGCACTTTTGGGGTATGCATCGATCTACACCACCTGTGACGGAACGACCACTGCCCGTGGATTGATCTCCAAGCGCACTTGCTGCTTTGCCCCACTGGTGCTGTCACCCTGCGCCAGCCCCACAACCACCACCACCTTGCACCAGCTCCCCTCTTTCTCGACATTCTCCTCCTCCCCTCTCCTCGTGTCAGCCTGCTTGCCCCCGTGTGCTTTAAGAGCCAGCTTGAGAGAGTCTGGGAGCAATTCCTCGTCCAAGATGAAGCTTGTGGGCTTTTCCATGCACTGCGAGGGAATGGGAAGAGAAACCGGCACAGTGGAAGACAGGGAGACGCAGAGGAAGGAACAAAAAGCCAAGGGTTTGCATGGAGGAGAAAAAAAGGTCGGGCAGCATGGAGCAATGAGTTAAGGAGGACGAGCACCAGCCACCCACCTGCAGGTTTGGCTCCTCCATGGAAAGGCGTCCTGTTGCTGTTGATGTCTGTAGCCACCGCCCATGCACTGTGTAGCACGTCTGGCCGCGGTTCTGCTTCCCTCTCAACTCGGCACCAGCACAATCCACTGATTCACCACACGCTGCTGCTGTGACTGCTTCCCCGGTGTCTGCATTTCTGCTCTGGTTCATCCCGCAGGCCTGCGACTCCAAATCGTTGAGCAGCTTCTTTTGCAGCCCATGCTGGTCCTTGACTCGGTGCAGCAGGGTGTTGATGGTGGCACACAGCTTGGCTATGCACCGGTACTCTTGAATCACTCCTGCTATTGGGTGCTTAGGCCTGCGACACACATTTCAGGAATGTGGGGAGAGCGATGGACGTGAAGCTTAAACGTGGAGTTGGTATTATGAGCATAATAGACGAGCGAGGCAAACATAGACTCGGCTCGAAAGATACTAGCAGATGGATGAACCAGGACTGTGGTAGAGAGCTGAATGATGCTGACAACACCTGACGAGGCAAAGCATGAGCTTCACTAATGGGCACGGACCAGCGGAAGGGGAGGTGGGGCACGGGCACGCACGCAGGCGGGGGTGGGGGGGGTGCAGGGGGTGGGGGAATGGGATGGGCACGCACTTGAGAAACTCCAGAGCTGCCTTGTCTGTTGGGCCCGGCTGGGACTTGGGGCCTTTGGTGACGAACGTTGGGGGCACAGGCAGTGCGAGGGTCTTGAAGAGGATGATGGCGAGCTCGCTGGGGTTGGAGAGCATGAAGGGGCGCCCCACCATCTCATGCGCCGCATCCTCCAGAGCAGTCACCTTGGCGCGTAGGACCCTTCTTAGCAGTAGGCACTGCCGCATGTCCACTCCCACGCCCAGGAGCTCCATAGACGCGACCACAGGGACCTAGATTTTGGTGGTTGTGACGAGGGGTACAGGGTATGGGATGGGGGTGGAAGACAACAAGGGGGGAGGGGCAGCGAGAGTTGCCGATAGACACGAGAGGCTTAGGAAACTTGCTGATTACGACCGGGAGCACTGGAGAAAAGTATAGGATATGATGAAAAGCGCATGGCAGGCCAGATAGACAGACAGACAGACAGACAGACAGACAGACAGACAGACAGACAGACAGACAGACAGACAGAGAGACAGAGAGACAGAGAGACAGAGAGACAGAGAGACAGAGAGACAGAGAGACAGAGAGACAGAGAGACAGAGAGACAGAGAGACAGAGAGACAGAGAGACAGAGAGACAGAGAGACAGAGAGATAGAGAGACAGAGAGACAGAGAGACAGAGAGACAGACAGACAGAGAGATAGACAGACAGAGAGACAGACAGACAGAGAGACAGACAGACAGACAGACAGACAGACAGACAGACAGACAGACAGACAGACAGACAGACAGACAGACAGACAGACAGACAGACAGACAGACAGACAGACAGACAGACAGACAGACAGACAGACAGACAGGCCATACCAGTGGCATCTCGTTCTGCATGAGAGGCTCCTCCAGGCACTGGGAGAAGAGTCGCTTCCACAGCACATCACTGAGCTCCCTCACTTGCGCTGCTCTTCTGCAGCATCCATCCCGCGCTGCCCGCCCCAGCTGCGCCTGCCACCGGCCTGCTCTCTGTGCCCTCGCTGCTGCATCTGGAGGGAGTGCGTTGGCCACGGCCTGTATTCCAGGATAGGTAACAATTGCATTGGTGGAGAGATCAGTAGGTTTGGGCCATAGAGCTGTAGGGAGAAAATGGGTCACTTAAGCATCTGGGCGGCAGGCGTCTGGGAAGGAAGTAGAAGTAGAGGTGTACGGCAACGTTTGGATTATTGAGAGAGCAAATAATATTGGACCAGAACTAAGCAGGTCACACACCACAGAAAAAAATATTATGATGGACTAACCTCTTCAATGGACTTCTCCTTATTGCTCTCGCCATCCGGATCAAGGGCCCACGCCAGCAGCCGCATATCAAGAATCGGGCCAGCCACATAAGCTGCTGGAAGAGGCTGCAGTACCCATGATTGCCGGACTTCTCCCTGCCCTTTTCCACCTCCGCCCGCTGCCCCTCGTCCTGTTTTTGGCTGCAACCAGCTCCTACCCCCCTGCTGCTGCATCTCCTCCAGCCGTAGCTGCTGTCCATCACCCCAGTTGCCATGCAAGCTCCCTACCTTCCGGACTCCTGATTCGTTCACCGGTTTGTTCACCCCACACTGGCCCGCCAAGGCAATCAATTTGAGAGGGAGGAGTTCTGGAGGGCAGCGCACAGCCGGGCATGAGAGCACCATGAGAGCAACTTTCGCATCCCAAAAGACTTTCTTCTGGCCCTGCTGTGCCAGCATCTGGCGAATTTTGTTCCACCGATCAACCACTGAACTCCACCACACAACCCTGTCCTCCTCTTCCCCGGCACCATCACTACCTGCCTCCTGTACAGGTCCCAAATGCGTTGCAGACTCCCCTCTTGCTGCTGCTCTGGAGTTCTTTTTCTGCTGATTAACCCTTGGAAGCACCACCAGCGCCAGGTAAAACACAGGGGAGCCTTTCCAGCACACAGAAACCCCTTCCAGCTCCACAGGCCTCTGCCCATACGCATCCTTGTAATCACCTGCTAGATGGAGGTCTACACAGTACTCGCACTGCTCCTCCCACTGGCGTATGAACTGGGAAACGCCGCCAGGGAGTGAGTGCACGTCCACAGGACCATCTCTTGGCATGCATGTACCAGTGGAAGGGCTCTGATGATGAGGGTGGGAGGTGTGCTGATGATGCCACTGATTCTGCTGCTCCTGCTGCTGCTGTAGTTGGTGTGGAGCGGGCTGAGGATAGGATGTCATTGCACTATTTACAGGTGCGTTCACGAGTGCCTGATTTGTCCGGCCCTCTGTGGGTTGGCCGCAAGGGCCCGAACTACACGGCACCAACGCAATGGCAGTAAACTGCCCGGCTCTTTCCACACAATTGCCAGAGAACAGCCGGGCATGGTCTTGTGCAGGCCCTGGGGCGGCCTCGCATGCTACACCAGTGTGGGGCAGACCTCCCATTGCTACAGCTGCTCCTGTACCCTTGGTTGCCCGTGGATTGCTGAAAAGGGATGTGTTGGGAACGTCCCGTTGACCAGCTAAGGCACAGGCCACAGCATTGTCTACTGTGCGAAAGAGCTGGGTTGCTGTCAGGTTTGTCCCCCATGGGTCTGCTCCTGGGGAAAATACGTGCTCTGCCTTTGCAGGAGTGGCACCACCAGCAGCAGCAGCAGCACTACAAGTAGCACTACTGCCAGCAGTAGCACCAGCAGCACCACCTGCAACAGCTGGTCCTCTAAGGTCAACTCGAGCATCAGGCATCAGAGATGATTCTCCAAGACAAGCTCCAGCAGGAGTAGCAGCAGCAGGAGTACCAGCAGCAGGAACAGGAGCAGGGGCAGGAGCAGGAGCAGGAGCAGGAGCAGGCGCAGGAGCAGGAGCAGGAGCAGGAGCAGGAGCAGGAGCAGGAGCAGGGGCAGGAGCAGAAGCAGGAGCAGGAGCAGGAGCAGGAGCAGGAGCAGGAGCAGGAGCAGGAGCAGGAGCAGGAGAAGGAGAAGGGGCAGGAGCAGCAGCCAGGTCTCCAGACTGCACTTGATCATTGTCTCTCTCAGCTTCTTGCGTCAGCACATTCACAGCGAATTCAATGTCGTCCATGGTCTCATCAGGCGAGTCCTCCACACCAGCTGCTGGATCATCATCAACATGGTTCGCAGGCCCAGCAACCCCACCAGCACCATCGCCATCACCGCCACCGCCACCACCACCACCACCACCACCATGCGTCCCCGCAGTTGCCCCTTGTCCAACAATTGACTTGGTAGCACCTGGTGCAGCTGCTTCTGCTGTTTCCTTCTTTGCAGCCTCAGGTGCTGCAATCGCTGCTGGAGATTGATCATCGAGGGAGACGAAGGTATGCAGAGCCTTATCGAGTCCCACTGGAATCTTCATTCCTAGCGACCTCATCTTTGTAAACATCTGTATCCGCTCCTCCTCTGCTTTCTCCAGCAGCACCTTCCGAGCACCTGGAAGCAAAGCAAGCGGCATGTGTTGATCATTTTAGAGAAGCACAATAGAGCACGCAATGAATAAGACGAAGGCAAAAGGTTGTAATGCATGCCCGACAAAAATCCATCCGGCCCGAACTCACCCCTGCGGATCTTCCCAGCTATCATTGCTTGAGCACGCGCTGTCGCAGCCTTACCTGCAGATTTAAGGCATCCAGGGAAAAGGGCAACACAAGAACAACATTCATGTTCATGCATGAGCTGTGAAGAGAAGAGATAGAAAATTGATGAAATACAGTAAAAGGACCATTTGGAAAACAACAGCTCTTGATTGGAAACAGGAGAATTTGATTTTGTACACCCCATCCTGACACACACCCCCTACTCCTATACACATACGTGTGCGTGCATGCGGACACTCCCACAAACACACACACCTCCCCATGAGAAGTCGGAGAGAGCTTTCGCGATCTCAGCAGCTGATGCCTCTGCCACAGCCTCTGTCGTGCGCAGGCCAGCCTTGTACAGGGCACGTGCACGTGCAGCCTGGTGTGGGTGTGAGCAGACAAAACGGCGGGAGGACCAACATTACTGTCTCAGCATGTAGCACCTCACTTGATTGGCAAAAACGAGCAGCACACACAAACAGAACAATGTAAGGCGATTCAGCAGCAGCTGCAAGTTTAGCGTGATGTGAACAAATGCGAAGTCCACGGGAGCGGGTTTTTCTGCCTGAGTGAGAGCACCTTGACGAAAGGAATCTCTGTGAGCTCCACTATCTCTGACCGCACTCCAAAGTACACGCGGTGCTGGAAGTTGGAGAGCAGAGCTTGCATGTCCGTGTACTTGAGGCGTTCACAGAACGAGGTGACCATGGAAGCAAAGCGGCCTGCGTTGTCCTGCAGCTGCTGAACCTGCCCTCGGTTCACACTGAATCTCTCGCACACGTCTCCGATAGGCACCTCCTGAAAACGACAAGGGAAGCAGGATCAACGGAAATAGTGGAATTGAAATGAAAGGCCCTCTGAGTGAGAGCCTACATCCAGCTTCAGGCTTTTTGCCCATACTCCCGGCCTAGTATGCTTTGCCAGCAAAGTCAGGTGCAGCTTCCACCCTCTCACCTGTACAACTTGTGACAGCACAAGAGCTGCGAAGAAGCGCCTGCAGATGCGCTCAGGCTCAAAAAGACTGTCAATTGGCATGCTGCCTTTTGGCGAATCCGCTACCTCATTCCTTGCCTTGCGAGTGCAACGCCCCATATAGGTGCGGGCACTGCCATGTGCCTTGCTGGCAAGAAAGGCTTCTGTCACCCCCACGTTTTTTGCAACCCGTTGGTCGATCTCTGAGAGTCTTAGGAATTCCTGATAGAAGATCTTCCAGTCAGGGTCAATGACTGAGGAGACTGGTGTCACCTGCGGGAGAGAAACGGAGCAAAATGAGCAGCAGAAGGGAGAAAGGCGCACCAAAAAGACAAAACGAGCTACAGATGACAGGAACGAGGGAGTATGATGGCGACGAAGGAACACAGGGAAATGACAAGAGGGGAACCCAGGCACACCTGGTAACAGTGGTGCAGGTCAGTAGCGAGAAGGCATCCCCAGCATCGAGAGCGGTCCAAGTCCTTGAAGACCAGCTGAGACTCCTCAGGGGTCATAGCGCTGCAAAAGGCTGCTTGGCCCAGTGGGGTAGGAGACCAGGTCTGTGTTTCATAGTTCCAGTCAATCATAGATGCAGATCGGAGCTGGCTCAAGGATGCTTTGGCTGAGGCACTGACCTGCAGTGCAGGTTAATGGATTAGCATGGCAGCAATAGGTGTGGGGAGGGAAGCACAAAAAGCAGCAGAAAACCCAAGAGAAGGACAAAAGCGGATGCTTTAGCTTGCAATAATGGAAACTTAAAATCCTGGTTGAGACAAAGGGAGTTTCAGAATATGTTGCCTCAACTGGTTGTCTTTGCTTCTCTTTCCTCACAAACAAAGAGGCACTTGCCTGCTTCATCCATGCGGCCCTCTTATTAGCATTGGTCTGCCAAACAAAAGTCTACGTGAGGAGATGACATGCAAAACGTGGCTAATGCAAACAATGCAACGGAAGAGAACGCCAAAGTCAAAGTGGAGAAAGGGAAGGAGGGAAAGGAAGAAGAGAGACAGGACGGGTTTGTAGGGCTGAAAGAGACAGTCAAGAAGGAGGGAACGGACAGGGAAGATGGAAGGGGCGAGAAACCAGAAATTCAAGTGGGAAGAGTTCTACATGCTTACCTCCTCGAACGACTTCAGAGTGCTGAGAAGGGTGCAGGATACATATCGGCCAACATCCACGCTCGTCTGCACGATGCCGGCTGCCACGACCTCCAGCAGTGCACGCGACATGCACTTGTATGCCTCTGACAGACACGATGCCAGGGGCTTGCAGCCCTGCTGAATCATATTCTTCACCCACGATACTTCGTTGGGATGGCAAATAAGGACCTGAAAGGAAGAACAGTAGAAAGCAGAAAGTACAGATGTAACAGAAAAGTGAAACGAACGAGATCCATGAAAAGTTAGAACTCAACAGGGTCCAGGCTCACATGCCAAAGGACAGAGAATGTAGACTAAAGGCGTGTGTCTTACAGTTCCGGAACTCGCCAAGTTCCGGAACTTGGGCTGGTTACAAATTTAGCAGCACATTTCGATAGGGCTTCGAGAGCTCCTCCCCGTGCAAAAATTTCGCCAGTTCTGGAACTGCTTCTGGAATTTCCAGAAGCTGAACTGTAAGACACGCCCTAAGCTAGTGGATTCCAGTCGGAAAACATGAATGAAAGGCTAATGAATGAAACGATGAGAGGGGGAGTGGGGGGGATGTGGAACGGTGGGGGGCTTGGGATGCAAGTACGGTCAAGTGTGGAAAAAAACGGAGACAGGCAGCCCGCTGCCGTGTTCACTGACTTAATAGTTCTTACACTTTCTCCCTTGTCATCGATCCCTGCTCTTCCAGCTCGGCCAGTCATCTGGCGGTAGTGCGTGGCGTCCAGGTGATCCAAGCCCATTTTGGGCTCCCTCAGAATCACGCGGCGTGCCGGTAGGTTGACACCTGCTGCTAGTGTAGATGTGGCAGTGAGAACTCGCACAATGCCTCGGCGGTAGCTGTGCTCAATGATCTCCCTTTCCTCCGTCTGCAAGGCATGAGATGGATTGACGTGGTTGGTGGAAATGGAAGGCGGGGAGAGGGACTGGGAGTGGGTGGACGAAGAGGAAGATCTCGTATTCTTAAAAAGGCAATAGAATATGCTCGCTCAGAAACGCACTTCTTCACACATGAAACTGGAAATGGTCAGAATTTCATGTTTATGCCGGAAAACCAGACAATGACAGGAAAACTTCAGAAGTTTACCGTGAGCCCAGCATGGTGATAAGCCACGCCAGCAGGGATGGACTGGGCAAGAACTGGGTCGAGACCAGACGGAATGCGCTTCAGTGCCTCCAAAACATCCTCTGGAGTGGAAATGGTGTCCTCTGGTTCAGATCCGCGGTTCACAGGGCTAAAAGGGGGCAGGAGCTTGGCGACATGGAGTGCTGTCTTTTGGCAGTGGGCGCGACCCGAACAGAAGATCAGCACCGAGTGGCCTTCACTCAAAACCTGGATGGAATCCAGGAGGCGAAGCAAGAGACTTCACCATAAGTATTAAGGACGTGGAACGAATCAAACTGCAAGTTGGATGTAGAAACTTGACAGGAAAAGGACCCAAAGCGTGGAATTCTTAATGCCTTACCTCATTGCACAAGAAGACTAGGTTGTCTTTATCCTCTGGGTTCGATGGCACAGTGCGGCAAGGGTTCATGAAGGTGTCGTAGATTGTGTCCCCAACCTTGATGAACTCTTGCAGGGGAACTGGGCGAAAGTCAGTCTCGTAGAGAACAGCCTGAAATGAGTATTGCACACACAAGGTTGACATGAGAGAATGACTGCATCTGCATGATCAAGCATTGGTATCATCACAATCTCAGAAGGAAAACTGCCATGGGGTGAATCACAATGTTTCACACAATGATACCAAACAGTGAATCTGACGGAGACAAGGAGAGTGAAACCCACACACGCAGACAGACAGACAGACACACACACACACACACACACACACACGCGCGCGCGCGCGCAGACACACACATGCGCGCGCACACACACACGCACACGGACACGCGCGCGCGCGCGCACACACACACACACACACACACACAAACAAAGCGGCATGAGAGGCACTTACATTCAACCACTTTGCTATGGCAAAAGTGTTGCGCATGGTTGCACTCATCCCCACGATCTGCAATCCTTCTCCCTCTGTCTTTCCACTGCTTCCCCAGCCAGCTCCTGTAGAGGGGCTTCCTCGCCCAGCATCCTTCCCCCCTCCCCCATCACCACCTTTAGCAGGTCTTAAAGCACCAGCAGCATCAGCTGCGGGATGCTTATTTCCCACCCCTTTGACAACATCTGGAGGGGAGTTCTTGGCAGGGGACGAGCCCAGGCCTGCAGCATATCGCAGCTTTGTCAGGAGAAGCTCAAGCAGATAGCCCCTGGCAGGATCTCCAACCTGCTCGTGGGAAATCAGGCAGAAAGGCGGATGCATTCTTAAATCAGTTGGTGCATCCTGCAGGGCCATGGAGCAACTTTGCGAAACAAGTTGCACATAAATCGCAAGCAGGCAAACGGATAAGTAGAGGACAGTACCATATGAAGCTCGTCCACCACCACCATTGCAATCTCTCCCAGTCGCCCTTCCTCCAGCAGCCGGTTCACGAGAGCATTGGCCTTCTCAATCGTGCACACAGCCAGACTGGTATCTGGAGGCAGCACAGATCCCCCCTGTGCTCCAAAGAAATTGCGCACGCGATAGCCCAAAGGCTCCAAGACGGCCTCCATATGCTCTGACTGCCACCGGCCACACATAGAAGTGCACATTAAGTCCAGGGTAACAGGAAAAACGAAGGCAGTTCTTAGAAAGAACAGCCAAAAAACGCGTCCTTTAAGTACCTTTTCAGCACAAATGGAGACATATGGCAACACCAACAAGGCCTTCCGACCAGTCGCCATCAGCCTTCTCACCAGCAGCACCTCTGCAACGAGACTCTTCCCAGCACTGCAAGTTGATACGTACAAACGTCAGACCATGTTCAGAACAATCAAACATCAGAACGGTTGTGGAATCATAACCTTGTGGAAGCACTGTAGACCAGATTCTGTCCATGAAGCACACGCTCTTTTGACAAGCACTCCACCTGAAAGGCAATCTCATGGTTTTATTTAGCAACGGTTAGCCATTTCTCCACAGCTCGAGGCTACAAACTTGACAGTCATACCTGCCATGGATACAGCTTGGTGACTCCTTTGCGAGCATATGCCTTGCATGCTGGTGGAGGGAGCCACGCAGAGAGCTGAAGGTCAGCTGTCGCTGAAGAGGATCCGGGGGAGCCAGAACCTTTCAAAAGCACCTTCTCTACTGGCTGTTCCATCAGCGCTTTCCCCTTAGCTTCAGGTGAGGCAATGTCTGGCTGAACTGATGTGCGTGCAAGGCTCTGACCTCTCACGTCCACCAAACAGCTTGGCTCCAGTTTCTTTGCAATTCTGAGACCCCTCTCTCCCTCTGCAAGAGGGGCTGCTGAAATCTTTGGCACTGGGCGGGGAGGCTTCTCTGCACTGAAGTCAAGGTGCCGAACTGGAAGTGGATCCAGGGATCCAGGAGATAAAGGACTTGCTGCTGGTGGAATTGCTTCGGTTCGTTGTCGAAATCTTGGGCTTCCAAGGCCAGCCAGCACTCCCCTTGTCCTTGTACCACAGCTTGCGCTTCCCTTGTCATTCGCCACCGACTGATCCCTTGCACCACCGCAACTCTCTCTTGGAACACCCAGACCAGCAGCAGCAGCATCAGCAGCAGCAGCAACTCCTGCACCTTCTATAGCATTGTTAGTGCCTTCTCTGCCTTCCACCAAGGCAAATGCCTTTTCCCAAAAGGAATCTCCAGGAGAATGGTTCCTGATGCTCCATGGTCGGCTACCTGAAGCTGCACTGCTAGCCCTGCCAGCATTTCCGTTAGCATTCTCTGCTCTTGGCTCGCCTTTTGGAGTAACAAAACGTTGATCCTGTGCATCCCTGCTTTCACTGGCATCCACCTGGCACTTTTGTCCAGAATTCTGCTTTGGAAATGTGATGCCTGCTGGAGCGTCAGCTTCAGTCTTCAAAATAGCTGAAGCATCCTGGAGCGGATTCAAAGGAACCCTCGTCGCCTCAATATGTCCCTGCACAGGAAGTGTTGTGTCAAAGTTCTTGAGTGGAATAATTGCATCTGGTGGAGTTACCTCTTCCAGTTCCGTCCCACACGCCCTGTTCACTGAAAGAACCTCCGGCGATGAGCTCTCCTTCCTGCCAAGCCGTGTATAATCATGGTGCACGGGGACTGTCTCAGTGGTTCCATTGCTGTTCACTCCAGCTCCGCCTTCAAGTGTATAGGCCTCTCCTTGAAAATCAATTTGAAGATTCTTGCCTTCGAGATCCTGAATGCCAGCTGAAGAAGTCCCTTCTGCAGTTTCAACAACGTCAATAAGGCGTGCACAAACGGAGTAAGAAATTGGTGATGCTGGTACATAACTTCACCACAATGTCCAATTTTGAACTTTACAAACTGTTGAAAGACAAGTACTGTTACTGAATGGTGTACCACCTGATCCGCTGGTTCGGACGTCAAGGGCTACTGAGGATATAGCTCCAGCAGTCGCATTAGCAGGCCTGCAGTCGAGAAGGAATTGAGAGAAATGGACGTTGATCGCCAACGTCACAGAGAAATGGATCACACGAGCAGATTTGCACCAAACCAAACCTCCTCTCAGCCAATTCTTTCTCGTAGCCGCATAAACCAGCACTTCACTTCAGCATTTCACTTGAACAACCCAGATTATTTCCAAAATGTCCACCTTAATGTTGACGTACCGGAAATACGTATCTGCAATGTCAGTGGGGATCCTAGTTGACTGCGAAAGAGTAATTAGACCATTCGATAGTGAAGCAGCCTCATCGCCTGAAAAAGCACATAGTAAATGGATGAGTGAGCTGACAAAGTAACGGAAATAAATCAATCGTAGCAACCATGAAGCTCATACAAACCAGGTGGTTTTATTGATTGGTCAGCATGAACGTGACGGATTCCCTGCTTGTCCGCTGGACCGCTTGCCTTATCCTGTTTCCTAGGTTTCTTCACTGGAAAGGTCTGGCAGCAGACGACGGGTATGAGGACATGGAGAACATTAGCCATTCGCGAGTGGTAGATTAGCAGCCTTTCCTGACTAGAATAATATGGAAGAACGAGAAACATATTGCTAGTCGATGCACGGAGGCTCCTTGCAACGAGATACTGGAAGCCTCGAATCCTGCAAATTTAGCTCGCAGTTCAGGGAGCACCTATCACGGATGATAAATGGTCGACGACAGTATTCAGCGGTTGCTATGGCTTACACACCTCTTGCAAAGATGTCTGTCGCTTCTGCTTCAGACTAGGAGACCCATCCGCTTGCTGCTCCATAGCCTGCTTAGTCAAGCTGGAGAGCTCGAGCACCAGGATTGCTACAGTCGACACCGAGCATTCGAAAGCTTCTATCCCTAGCGGTCAAGCTTCGTGTGCGACAAAGGAACATCAGCCTGACGAAACGAAAGCTTTTGGCGCAAGCAGATGCTTTGGTCAGCAGCAGAGAGCATTAGCACCATGCCATGGCATCTGTGTCGTGCAATCTCAGATAGCGGATGCAGGTAATGGAGAGGGTGAGGGGATGTTACAACAAATGAGGCGCATTCACTGTTACTGCGAGATCGCCGCCGTCCGATCGGCGTCCAGACCAATGTCGTCAGGAGCAACTGCTTTCTGTGCCTGATCCGAACCTGCGGAACATAGGGTAATGCCATACCTCCGAGCAAGCAAAACCAAGCCAGAAGCATAACAGGCGTGTGAGCCTGAACAAGTAAGCTACAACGTTGGCGGGAGCCGCATTGATTGGACAACTGGGGGCAGACTAGAGTTCGCTATGTTACAGTCATTTCAGAGGAGGAGTCAACTACTAAAGCATATGCGAGTTTCGTGTAAACGCCTATCACTCATCCTTTTCAATAAAAAGCAGAACAGCTCCTAACAGTGGAGAGCACTAACAGTGGCTTCCAATTGAATCAAAAGAGTGGTGAGGGGTTGGGGGCATTGATTGGTGATTTGAAAGCCATGATTGAGAAACTTCACTTCTTTACTAGCAATGGGGATTGCCTTTATTGCTTGTGGTGTGGTAGTAGCACATTGTCCGTCTGTACCGAATTGTTAAATCAGGTGTTCAGTCAGAACGAAATGAAAAATGCACACAGCATCTTGCATTGCATTGCAAGAGCAAGAGTCAAGGAAAATCATCAGCACGGTTAGGAGCATATCTGCAGGGCGCTGCCCCACATCAGCTCAGCTTACTCAACAGTATCTAAAGACCACAAGACAGGACAGGACACACACACCCAGAAAGTCAGTTCAGTAGTAAGGGTACTACGGTATCTTATTACCCTCCCCCAATTCCTCGTGCACAATACCATGTGCGTATTTTGACAAGGAAAGCACATACTGAAACCCGGAAACACCACACTTCGACAATGTCTCATCTCATCCCAACCCTGCCCCGAATCCCGCAAAGGACCCTGCCCCATCATCATCCTCCTCTTCCTCGTCATCATACTCATCCTCATACTCATCGGCACCAGGACCAACCCCCTCACCATCACCACCTGTACCCCTCCCATATCCACTGTTCACTCCACCACCACCAGTCCTCAACCCCACCCCTCTTTCCATTGCCCCTCCTCCCCAGCCCATACCACTCCCTCTCCCTCCAACTGCCACCATCCCCCCCCTGCCTGCACCTCCTGTGCCTCCTGTGGCTCCTAGTCCAGGACGGGCCATGCTGTGGCTGCCCGCTGTCATCCCGCCCCCCTCTTCGCCACTGTCATCAGAATAGAACTCGTCAGAATCTGAGTCCTCCACCATATTGCTACCCTGCAAACCATCTACTCGTCTCTCATATCCCATCCGCCCCTGTTGCTGTTGCTGCTGCTGCTGTGACATGTTACCCGTCCCTAAGTTTCCTGCCACACCTGGCGACCCCCTCCCCCTCCCTCCACCCACACCTCCTTCCCCTCCTCCTCCCCCTCCTCCTCCCCCTCCTCCTCTCCCTGCTCCAATCACCGCGACCTGTCCCCTTTGCCCTGCACCCACTTTGTAACCCGAATCAGCCTTCATCCTTCCCTCATTCTCCAGCACGTCCTCCTCTTTCTCCGACTCGTCCTCATCCTCATCCTCATCTTCATCTCCCTCCTCTCCCTTCCCCTTCTGCTGCTGCTGGTGCGGCTGGGGATGCTGCGAGTTGGAGTGCTGCAGCTGTGGCTCCTGTTCCTGCTGCTGCTGCTGCTGCTGTTGTTGCAGGGCCAGGAGCGCTTGTAGCCTCGCTTTTGAAGCAGAGAGAGTGGAGGGGGGCGGGGAGGAGTCGTCGGAGGAGCCAGAGGAGTAGGAGTCATCATCGGACAAGGGTGACCCGGTGAACTCTCGGATCTCAGGCGAGAGCTTGAACCGCACAGACCGACGTGGGGCGTCAGATTCGCCGGCAGCAGCAGCAGCGCTGGTATGTGGTGGTGGGGTGTGAAGCGCTGAACACAACAATGATGATGACGATGGTGGTGGTGACAATGCTGATGCTGATGCTGATGCGCGGTGGTGGTTTCTTCCTCCGGCCGCCACTGTTCCATCTGCTGCCACCTCCTCCTCCTCCTCCTCTTCATCCCCCTCCTCCTCGCCATCTTGCTCCCCTCCGGAGCTCTGCCCTTTGACAACAATGCTGCCATCATCGTCATCACCATCACTATCCTCCTCCTCCTCGTCTCGCTCGCTGCCACTGTATGTCACCACACTGCCACTGCCTCCAGCACTGAAGCTCCCCGAGTCGTTCATCCGGTTCACTACCACTGCACCGCCACTGCCACTACCACGCCCACCACCACCACCTGCCCCTGCTGCAAAACTACCAACTCCACCACCTCTCCCAGCTGCTGCTGCTGCTGCTGCTGCTCCTCCTCCTCCTCCTCCTCCTCCTCCTGTTCCACCTGCCCCTGTTCCGCCCGCACTTCCTCCTCCTGCTGCTCCTCCTCCAGCTGCTGCTGCTGCCACTCCTCCAGCTGCCATACTTTGCCCAGCGCCTGCAGCCCCTGAAGCGCCTGCAGGCAGACTGCCCTCAGTAGCACCCCTCCCCATGCCGGGATTCCCCATGCCGGCCAGCCGCCTTGTTACATGCACACCAATCTCGCTCTCGCTGCTGCTCGTGTAGTCACTGCTGTCATCATACTCCCCAGCATGGTTGCTGTAAGCGCTTCGAGCAGCCGCCGTCGCCGCCGCTGCAGCTGATGCTGCAGATGCTGTTGCTGATGGTCCAGGCGCCCCCCTGCTAGTTATGGCGTCAGCAGTACTCCTGCTGCTGCCACCGCTGCTGGTCGGTCCGATGCGGCTGCTGGTAGGTCCCATGCCGCCGCCTAGTCGTCTCCTCCTCTCCTCCTCTTCCTCACTCTCCTCATCGCTACCCTCATCCAACCCATCATCCTCCTCCTCCTCTTCCTCCTCCTCTGCTCTCCTATAAGCACCGCGAGCAGCAGCAGAACCACCTGCCCCCGCACGATCTGCACCGGAACCAGCACCAGCAGTGGCAGCAGCACGAGTGGGAGGCGGGCGGCTGTACACAGCAGTGTCGAGACTGGAATGGTGGGGAGGAGCGTCGTCTGACAGCTGTGTGCTCACACTCGCAGCATCATCATCATCATCATCATCATCATCATCATCATCATCATCCGCATCCCCACCACCATCGCTACTCCCATCCGTGCTCGTCGCATCAGAAACATCACCACCAGCAGCACCACCAGCAGCAGCTCCACCAGTGGCACCAGCACCAGCACCAGCAGCAGCAGAAGAAGTTGAAACACCAGGAGCAGGAGCAAGAGCGTGGGTGCCAGTGGGGAGGGTGCTCTGCTTGAGGAACTGCTCCTGCAGCATGCCCCCGGCGAGATGGAACGACGTGGTCTTCACCAGGAACGGCTCTGCTAGCACCAGCTCCGCTATGCTGCAGCTCTGCGCCCGCAACAACCCCTGACTATCCACGCCCCCCCCTCCTCCTCCTCCAACGCCCGTCATTGCGCCGCCCACCCCTCCTCTCGCTTCTCCCACTGCTCCCCCTGATCCCCCTGCCCTGCCTGCTCCGGCTCCTCCTGCGGCTGCTGATCCTGTGCCTGCCCCTGCGTATCTAGCAAAGAAGCTCCCGCCGCTGAGAGGGCGGCTGTGAATATCCACTGCTACTCCTCCTGCTCCTGCTGCCCCTGCTGCTCCTGCTGCTGCCATGTTGCCCGACGCTTGCCCAAGCCCACCACCATGCGCGGAAACGGAATTAACAGCAAAGATGCTGCTGCTCCCACCTCTGCCCATTCCTCCTCCTCCACCCACTCCACCCCCTGCACCCCCTCCTCCCCCTCGTCCTCCTCCACCTGCCCCCCGGCCTGCCCCTCGCCCCTGCGCAGCATGCTGCAGCATGATACTCTCCTTCCAGTGCGGCTTAGCCACAGGGTCCATGCTCACAGACCGAGCAAGGGACAACGCTGATGCTGATGCTGGGGGTCCTGGTGATGAGTCCTTGGCTCCTCTTCCTGCTCCGTTGCTCCCCCCCGCTGCTGCCATAGCGCCCCCACCGCGCCCCTTGCTGCCAGGAGCAGACACTGAGGCGGGTACCCATGGGAATGCAGGCGCGCCTGATGATGCAGCCGCACTGCTGCTGTTGCTGTTGCTGTTGCTGTTGCCGTTGCTGTTGCCGTTGCCGTTGCTCCCACTGCTGCTACTGGCACTAGCACCACTGCTAGCCGTACTGCCACTGCCACCGCCGCTGCTGCCACTGCTGCTGTTGTTTGTCCCAGGAGCAAGCGGCTTGACCGGCCCCCCTCCTCCTCCCCTCCCCACTCCAGCCCCCCTCCCCATGCCAGCACCACCTGTGAGTGTCTGGCTTGTAACAGCACCTGGAGCACCTGGAGCACCTGGAGCACCTGGCAGGTGTGGCTGGAAGAACTGCCCTCCCACAGACTTGTGGCGCTGCAGCCCCGATCCACCTGCTTCCCCTCTGCCCCCTCCCCCCCTGCCTCCTCCTCTCCCTCCTGCGACCCCCATCTGTGCAGTTGACAGGGAGTGCTGGCGACGGAACTGATCCTGGTCTGCGGACGAAGCTATGCCAATTCCTGTGCCTGTGCCTGTGCCCGTGGCCGTGCCCCCGCCGCCACGACCAGCGGCACTGCCCACAGCGAGGCCTGCACCTGGTGCTATGCCCCGCCCCCCACTGCCCGCTGCTCCCCGGCCGCCAGCCATACCCGGCACGCCTGACCCCACCCGTCTCAGACCCCTTGCTCCTGCGCCTGCTGCTCCTGCTGCTCCTGCTCCTGCCAGGCTCTGGTTTTGGTTCTGCATCCTTGCATCCGGTACTCCGGATACTGCTCGCCGCAACGCCCGGCTTCCTGCTGCCCCTGATCCTCCCCCTGCTGCCCCTGTTACTCCCCCCCCTGCCCCTCCCGCTCCCCGCCCCCCGCCCCCTGCTCCTGGCCCACCTTTCGCCCTCTCGCCCGGCACGCCTGACACTGCCCGCCGTAACGCCTGCCCTCCTCCCCCTCCGCCTCCGCCCATCATCCCTCCTGCTCCCCCCACACCCATGCGCGATGGTCCTCCTGCCCCCCCTGCTCCTGCTGCTGCGGTTGACAAGGTGCGGCCTTCTGGGACTCCCGACACCGCCCTTCGCAACCCACGCATGTTCGCACCAGCACCAGCACCAGCACCAGCACCAGAGCCAGAGCCAGAACCAGCAGCACCCGCACCAGCACCACCGGCAACAGCAGAGCCAGCAGCAGCACCCATGCGCGCTGCTGCAGCGGCAGTGCGGTTGTCTGGTACTCCGGACACCGCCCTGCGCAGCCCACGCATGCCCACCCCACCCCCTGGACCCCCACCACCAGCGGATCTAGCAGCAAGAGGAGGCGAAGCAGCACCAGCACCACCAGCAGCGGAGGAGGACCCACCCCCAGCAGCAGCAGCAGCAGCAGCAGAGTCACCACTCGAGGAAGGGCGTTTGAGTTTGGGGCTGCTTTCCGGGGACGCAGGCGTCGCGAGAGGGTCACTCGGGGCACGGAAAGCAAAGCTCCCACTACCCGTCATACTAAGGCTCTTCACCACTGCCGCTCTCCCGCCTGCCCTTACTCCCTCTCTCCCTTCCCCTCCTCCTGCTATGGCAGCTGCTGCCACAGCTGCGGCGGCGGCAGCAGCGCCAGCAGCTCTCACTGCTGCTCTCTCCGCGGCTCCCCCTCCTTCCTCTCCGCCATCATGGAAGGCAAAGCTCCCGGATCCTGCACCAGAAAACACCCCCCCTCCCCCTCCTCTCCCTCCTGCCCCCTCGCTCCCCTCCGCGCCAACCCCCCCCCTCGCTCCCCCCCCTGCTGCTAACATTGCCATCGCCCTTCCCCTTCCCCCTCCCGGAATCCCCCCCCCTGGCCCCCGCCCCCTCCCCCTGCGCCCCTGCATGCCCCCGCCTCCTCCGCGGCCCCCTGCAGAGTCATGCGGGAAGGGGGCGGATGCAGGGGAGGAAGGGGAGGCTCCGGATCCCCCTGCTCCCCCTGTTGCAGAGGCTCGGGCCGAACCGGGCCCCGAGCCTGTGGATCGGGGGGTGCTGGCGTTGGAATCTGATTCGTCGGAGTCGGGATGGTGGGGGCTGCTCACACGCACGGGCCGGAGGTCAGGCGACAGGGAAGAGAGAGGCCTTGCAGCACCACCACCAGCAGCGGCAGCAGCAGCAGCAGCGGCTGCTGCTGACCCCTTGCCTGCTGGTGCTGGTGCTGGTGCTGGTGCTGGTGATGATGATGCTGACGAGGATGGTGAGGGTGAGAGTGAGGAGTCCTCGTCGTCGCTGCGCTCCAGAGTTCGCGAGCCGGCAGTGATCGGACTAGCAGCACCAGCAGCAACGGCGGCAGCAGCAGCAGCAGCAGCAGCAGCAGCGGAGTGTTTAAGCCCGGCATGCATCTCCTGCTCATGGTGCACGATACCATCAAACGACGGGGATAACGCCACAGCCACACCGCTACCTCTCGCTCCTCCCCCTCCCCCTCCACCCCCCGCTCCCCCTCCCCACGCCTCCGCGCCCTGTCTCCTCGGCACCTGGATATTCCCCAGACCCACCGCTCCTCTCCTTCCCCCCTTCCCTTCCGCCCCTCCGCCCGCCCCCCTCTCCGTCCGCGCCCCCTCAAACGACAGCGACGGCTGGAGCAGTGAGTCAGCGCATGATCCCTGCCGCCACATCTTCCCCCGCCCGTCCGCCCCTGCCTCCTCCGCCCCCGAGCCCCCCCCTCCGCCTCCCCCTTGCCCCCCCACCGCACCTGGCAGCACCTGCCCCGAGGCTACTGACAAGGCTCGGCTCAAGCCTCCCCCAGGCCTGCCGCCCGCCGGACCAAACGCTTGTCTACCGCTTCCGCCTGCTCCCCCCTGCAATGTCCCCCTTCCGCCCGCGCCTCCTCCCCCGAACGAGCTTGACCGCCCTGCCTGGGGGGGGGACGCGGATAGCATTCCCGCGCCCCCCATTCCGCCGTTCCCGCTGATGGCGCTGCGCAGGCGCGCGGTTAGCTCGGGCTCTGTGTCCGCCAGGCCTAGCAGGCGCGGGGTGGAGTGCGGAACGCCGGCGGAGAGGGAGGAGTCGGGGGGGAGCGAAGCGGTGGAGAGAAGAACCCCTACGTCCATGGAGCTGTAGCGGTGCATGGCGGAAGGGGAGGCGGAGGCGGAAGCGGAGGCGGAGGGGGGTAAGTGGAGAGATTCCAGCCGCGCCATTCCCCCCGCTTCTCCCCCTTCGCCGCTTTCCCTCCCTTGCGCCCCCCCTACTACGGGGCTTGCTCTCCCACCCGCTCGCCCCGCCGCACCCGCGGAAGGCGCGCCGCCGGGGGAGCTGGTGGCGGGGCTGGGGGGGACGGACCCGCGGCCCGCGGGGACCATGGCTTGGAGCTGCACGAGTCCGGGGAGCGGGGGGAAGGAGTTGATGCTTCCGCTCATGGTGCTTCCGCGCGCGCTGCGCCGGGATGACGTCACAGAATCCGGGCTAGACGGCGGGTAGTTATCCCCCCCGCCACCCCCAGACTCGCGCGCCCCTCTTCCCCCTCCGCGAGACCCTCCCCCCGCCCCTCCCGCGCTTCCCGATCCCGCGGCTCCCGCAGCGGACGCGCCTGCTCTCCCCCCTTTTCCCGCCGCCCCCGCAGCCGCCGCGGCGGAAGCGGGCGCAGATGCGTCTATTCCTTCCAGCCCCGCAGTCCACGCAGAAGCCCTCTCCACGCTCTCCGCCAGCGCGCGGCTGCTAAAGCTTCCGCTTCCGCCGCCCCCCCCCTCGAAGCCCTCGGGGCTGTCCGCCAGTCCGGGGGGGCTGCCGTGATCGTCGGGGCCCGCGCTGGACACGCTCCCCGCGGGGGGAAGGGGGAGCAGACCCAGGGACTTGGCGGCTTGCAGGCGCTGAAATGCTTTCACCTGACCCGCGCTACCGGGACTCGCGCTACCGTCCCCCCCGCCATAGTCACTCCAGGAATTGGAGAGTTGCCGGCGCACGGACGGGTGCAGGCCGCCACCGCTGCTGGGGGAGCGCGCGGAGGGGGAAATCCGCCCGGACGGGGAGAGTATCCCGCTTCCGCCTTCCGTGCGCACGTGGCGGGGTAGCGGTACGGAGGACGATGATGACGTGGCTCGCGCTACGCCCGCGCCTCCCGCGTTGCCGAGTGCGGCGGCTTTTTCTAGCGCCGCTGCGGCGGTTTCGAGGGAGGCTGCGGCGCGTTCCCCCATCCGCGCGCCCTCCTCACGCGCGCGCGCGACTTCCTGCCATAGGCGCGCCACTTCCTCGCGCAGGCGCGCGGCGTCGTGCTGCGCCTGCGCGGCCTCGCGGAGGAGCTCCGCGCGCAGGGGGTCGGCGGAATGGGCGGAAAGCGCGGCGAGTTTCCGCTCGTCCAGCGACTGAGAATGCGTGTACTGTTTTGTCGCACGCGACTCCTGGCTGCCGCCGTGCGACTGTGAGTGGGGCTGCAACTGCGACTGCGACTGCGACTGCGACCGCGATTGCGATTGCGAATGCGACGCTGCTGACGTGTCATGCTCGGACGAGTTGCCATTCTGAAGCTGCAGAGGGGGCGGTCGCCGCGCCATTCCCCCGCTATCCTGCTTCCCCGTTTCCGCGGCTCCCCCCCGCTGAGGACTATGCGCCTGCGCTGATGCAGGCGGCGGGGAGGAGTGCTGCGCGTTCCTCCGCGAAAGCTGCTGCTGCTGCTGCTGCTGCTCCACCGACGAGACCCCCGCTTCCCCCTGATCCCGACCTTTGGCGCCCTTCGAGCCGGCTCCGCTCGCGGCAGCGCCGGCGGCGGCGGCTTCTGCGGAAGCGGCGGCGTGGGTGCCGTTAGCGCCGGCGACTGCGGCTGCGCCGGAGAGCCCGTGTTGCACTATGAGATTCTGCTGCTGCTCCACCATCTGCGCGTACACCTGCGACAGCTTCAGCTTCGGCTGGTTACCCTGGTTATTCGGGTTACCGTGATTATTCGGGTTACTCTGGTTAAACCCCCCAGATGCGACGGTCCCTGGTGCGGCCCTACCGACGGGTCCTGACATGCCGTTACGCAACGACTTCGCAGCAGCTGATTCGTCCGATCGACTCGGGTGCTTGGAAGCGCCGGAATGCGCGCAAAAGTCGGAGCCGCGCGCGAGGGAGTAGTCGGACGTTTCGGCGAAGCCGTTCAACTTGCTTAGAGCGGGAACGGCGGCCATTGTCGCGGCCCCTCGGCACGCTGGTCCGCTATTGCGACGCCGTACGATGCGGGGTGGACGGTGAAGAAAAAAAACTAAGGAGAAACCATATCATTCGCTAGGTGCGGGGAGGAGGAAATTATGGTCGACCCTAAGGGAAATGCAATGTTATAAATTAGAGGGGCTGCCTTAGAAAGAACGCAAGAGGACATCAAAGGATTAGAGGGGCAGCCTCGGCATCAGGACTCCGTTACGAGCATCTATGTGACCTAAACTGTTAAGTCAGGCTGTACCATGCTTGCAGGAATGCCCGTAGATGACTCTAGCTAGGGGCCATTTTTCGCTCCTAACCTGTTACCCTACCAGCAAGCCAAACGAAGCCGACAAGGACGTGGGTCTGCTCTTCCCTCCCACCTAACCACTGCCTGACCTGCCAAACAAAACCACGAAGCCGCAAAGCCGCGCTGCAAGGTGGTTTGGGTGGGATGGGATGGGAAGTATGTCCGTCCTTGCTGTTGCCTGTGCCGCTGGCACGAGGGGGTGTTCTAGGGTCAGATACCTACCGCTAACTTGGGGTCAGACTCGCTCTGTATGATGGATTTGTTTTTCTGCTGCGTCTATGGCACGACTTTGTCTCAGCAACCGGTTGGCAGTCGTCGAAAAGAGTTTTACACAAGGCATGGTAGGACGCAGAGTTTCTTTCAACAGAATTGCACCCTCGCGCCAAATGACAGCAGCACGACTCCGAGGTCTGTAGGCTGTTTTGTTTTTGAGGTTACCCGCACTTGTCCATTAGATCAATGCACGAACGTCTAGGCACTCGACGAGTGCCTTTGTGTGGACACATTCTACCCCAAAAGCTCTACTCTCTCCTGCAAATGGACTGCTCTCCCACGCAGGATGCTGACTAGAACGAGTGTGTTTTCGAGCCTTGGTAAATAAGGTAACGAGACTAGAAAGAGATGCATGCGTGGGTGTTTACCTAATAATCTACTTCCCAAGCGCAACAGCAGTAACGTCGGGCGGGTGTCGTGCGAAGCAAGACGACACCAAGTTGCACTAAAGATGCCAACGCTGGTTGGTCAAAAAGTGCTGTACTGTATGAGGAAAGTAATATACAACTCATATTCTCTTAGCACCCCGGGGGGCGATGCAGGAGATTTCCCTTTTAACGAATAATGGCCGTACGGTAGGGGAAAGGTGGACTATGGGGTTTCCCCAGGAAATGGGGCGTTGATTTTTGTGTACTGTGCATGGGCGGCTTGATTGGCATATGCAGCTACTGAGTAAAAATCGCCACGTCGCAAGCCTCTCCACTTGTGTATCAACTCTGCGTTTCAAGAGAATGTCATACAGAGGGTATGCTCTATGCTCCAAATCCGCGACTCACAGATATGGACTACGACGAATAAGAGCGGTTCACTACGGGCAAAATGGATTATCGAATAGCACGTACGGTTTTATGTGGGATGGCGTAGGCTGTTTTACTATTTCTGTTCACGATGGGTGCCTTGGCGTATTGGCCCTTGGGCCAAGTTACCAACGACTTCGCCGCGTGTCATGTGAGGGCTCATGTGGCTTCTTAAAAAATGTTCAGCAAATTTGTCGTCTCGTCAGAATTACCGCGGACAATAGAAGTAACACCTCGTTCTTGACCTTTCGCAAGCAGCGCAGCCTCAAAACGCGCAAATCATATAATTTGAAAAAACCCTTTTCGTGGTCTCACGAAAAGGGCTTAGCGTAACGAAATTATGACGACTCGCCTAAGTAGTTTCGTTAACCAATCACACACTTTCACGAATGTGAAAAAAACCATTTAAGAAAAACATTTCGAAATGTGCATTAGTTTATGGTGATTGAGGGACCGTGGGTCCTGTTTTCGTATTTGGGACGGACCTGTTCGTGTCACGCGGAAAGCCTGAATATTTGCGTCATTGGTTATAAAATATGGAAAACGCATCGAATGTTCTTGACACGAGGATTAGAATAGGACCGAAATAATAAGACAGAATGGATAAAAAAGGGGGTACGGATTCATGCCCAGGTCAGCGCGCATACAAAATTGCCAGGTGGACGGTGGTATTAGCTGGCTGTCACTTTTTTATTCCATCGTGATTACGTCTGATCGCCCTGGTAAGCGCGTATTGGCCGAGCAATTCCAAGCACAGTTCACGAGAAATTTACGAGCTTGCACTCGCGGATTGGTTGGCGACATTCGCATGCTGGGATCGCACCCAATTCGGGTGGCGCGACTCGATGGTCGGTGACATTATGCGGCTGTCGTGATTGGTCACAATGTTTTATTGCGCTTTTTTAGCGAAGTCAACAGTAGATGTATACCGTACAGACGGAGTACATCGTGGCCGATCTTATCGAATTTCGGACCTTGGAGTATTACATGGAGTAAAATGTCGTGGACCTAATGGCATACCCGCTGTATTCATTGGCGCGTTCCTTGGCGCGTTCCTATTGGCTATGGGCGGACGGATTTTCCTACGGCAACGTAACGGATTCCATTGGCGTTGCAAGCATAATTCTACTAGACCGTCAGCGAGCTGGTCGTATCTAGCGCATCATGTGGATTTTTTCCTCGACATTGGTTGGCGAGCCTAACATATCTGGATTTTTATAGGCTCGCCGATCACTAGGTGTGGTCGCTCTCAAAACACAAGAGCAAAGTGATTGGACGGCCTTGGAACAGCCGAATTGACTGTCTAATTTACTGTTCAGTCGAGACGGGTACACTTTTCGTACAAGGCGTAGCCCTTAAGGATAAAATGTTTATGGAATACTCCTGGGCGTAAATGGGGGTCGTCTACAAGGCATATGATATATACAATAAAATGGTGGGTGTGCAAACCATGTATAGGTAGAAAGAGAAATATTCCAAGTTTTGAGAGGAAATGAGATGTTAAAAATATAATCTAGTATCTATCTAGTGTTATGCAAATGAACTCGAGGGGGCGGAGTTGATTGGTTGATGGCGTCCTCGATTGTGATGAAGCTGCGATTTCATAACAAAAATAACAAATTTTCTAAAATTCCCAAACCCTTCCTTCATACTTCTCCTTACGTTTACTACTTCCTTTCGAGCCACTAGCCGCAACATGTCTTGATAGAGTGAGGAACTAACGTGGATTTTAACGCGAAACACTGACGATTTCGAGCGTTACACCTCATCAAATTTTCTGACGTGTCAGAACTTTAGCGTCAGTAGCTTGTAGGCTAGGGGGTAGTGAGACGAGGGGTAATGAACCGGGTGGTATTGAGCCCCGTGGGAAAGGGGGGCAGTGAGCCACGGGTGGGGGAGGTGATCCGAGAAGGGAGGGGGAAGGGGGGGAGGGAGGGGGGACGGTAAGGAACTAGGGACCTGTGAGCTGGGGTGTAGTGAGCCTGCCTGGCTGACATGAGGCAAGGGATGTTGAAGTATACTCGACAAAGTTTACTTATGCATTCCTGATATAACACTAAGACTGTACTAATAGCGCGATACCTCATATGGAAGGACGCGCCTGATGACTCGGCATTAGTGTGAGAGTACGACCCCGTTACACCACTTGTCCTATTCTTATCTCCTTCCTATTTCATTCTTCTTTTTATCTCATCTCATTTGGTTTCCTATTCTCCATTCTTCCATTATCTTTTGGTTGATCCTGCTATTATAATTATATCACCGACCAGGCTTGGGATGTACTGGCACATTATCCAGCGTAATCCTGCCGTAATCCCTTAAAGCCAATAGCCTCGCGTGGCTATACGCAGGGTGATTCTATATTCTAGAAGGGTCTATTCCTTTGGATAGGATAAACCTGGTTACCTGATGTACTCTGGAAGTATAAAAGCACCTTGTACTGATCGATAGTGCAATCGATCCTCGAGTCATTCGATCCTGTGACAATTAGCGAGTCAACGCGTGGACAGTAGGTTTGCGTGTATAGTCACCCGAAGGGTCACGCCACTCTCAGTCATACGAACAGTCACTAATCATGTCACGCGAATAGTCGCTTTACACTACGAACAGGTACATCTTTGAATCGGTACTTCCTATACAATGAATATGCATGTATTGTCAAACATATTTGTATATGTTATAATAGGCTAGATAGGTGCATGCTCTTCGAAGGTACGACACTTGAACAAAATCAGCATGTACGCATCATTCTAGTCAACTTTTACTCTGAGATGGTATCATGCGCTAGGTTAGGTCCTCCCCGCCCACCCACGCTTCCGCTCTCGTCCTAGCCCTAGCCACCCGTTCCTAGCCGTCCCTTAGCACCCCGTCGGCCCCGTATGCCCAACCGGCCCCGTTAGTCCCGTAAGCCCGTTAGCGCCCCGTCGGCCTCGTGCGCCCCTCTAGCCCTGCTCGCCCCGCCGTCCCGTTAGTGCCCTTCCAGCCCGTTAGCGCCCTCCCGGCCCCGTTCGAGCCCTGTTGGCCCCATTAGCGCCTCCCGGCCCCGTTAGTGCCCTGCCGGCCCGTAAGCGCCCAGCCGGCCCGTCAGCGCCCCGCCGACCCGTTAGCGCCTTATCGGCCCCGTACGCCCCTCTGACACCACTCGACCCGCCAGCCCCTTAGTGCCACGCCGGCCCGCTCGTGCCCTCCCGGCCCCTTTAGCGCCCCGTTGGCCCCGTGCGCCTCTCTGGCCCCACTGGCCTCGCCGGCCCCTTAGCACCCCACCGGCCCGCTCGTGCCCTCGCCGACCCTGCCTGCGCCCCTCTGGCTCTGCTCGCCCCTCCGGCCCGTTAGCACCCCGCCAACCCGTTAGTGCCCCAGCGGTCCCGTGAGCCCCTCAGGCCCTGCTCGCCCCACCGGTCTGCTAGCGCCCCTCCGACCCCGTCAGCGCCCCGCCGGCCCTCGCCAGCCAGCTGCCCTGCCAGCTGGCTCCAACTTAGCCGGCTCCCGCTTCGGCGGCCAGCCGCCGGACCGTCGAGTCCCAGAGCCGACCCACCGGCTCTGGCTCCCTTCAGCGCCAACTCCCCTGCCAGCTGCCTCCACCGCACTCCACTGCACTCCACCGCACTCCATCACTCTTCACCCCACTCCACCATTCTCCACTGCCTCCTCCCCATGTCCTCTTCGTTTTGTCAGGTGTCGGCGGCGAGCAGAAGCAGCAGCAGCAGCAGCAGTGGCCGCCGGTGTCCGCCCTTTGCCTGCTCGGCCTTCCCTCCTCTGACCGCTCGCCTGCGCCTCCCCCGCCGCCTCCTCCGCTTCCTGTTCACGGTCTTGTGTTTCCGCTGCCGGACTCATCCCCGGCCCGTATCCCACCTCATTCCCCTCTTGTATCTCCTCCTCTATCTTCTGACATGATGC